GCATTGGCTGTGGGACAAGTAGAACAGGAAGCCACTTCTATTATAAATTCCTGCAGGGCTATTGTTTAAACCACAGTAAAGAACCTGGATGCCCCCTGTCTGATAACTGGGGCTCTTATTTCAGGAATGGAGCCTTGAGGCTCACCAAGCAAATTTTTCAATAAACATCTGGACACCCACCTGAGTTGATGATCAAAGAAAGTTCACTCCTTTTTTCACCTACTAAGATTTCATTACATTCATGTTTAGTTTCCCTGTAGAAAGAAGAATTGACATAAAATTCAGCTAATTCCTCTATTCATTGTTTTTCCTGATTGGGAGGCTTTTCAAGTTCCCCAGGTTTCTTGCCTCCTTGGTTCCTATTTAAGGTCACAGCAGAGGAGCCTCTATTAACAATATGTGGGAACAAATCAGCAGAGTTTTTGTAGGACTTACGCTGGTAACTCGCAGACGCAAAATATGTCAAAGTTTTCTATACACGACCATGGAACATCACCCTTCCAGAAGCCAGCAAGCTAAGGCTATCAAAAGGTTTGAAGACGGCCTAACAAGGCTAAGGAATGGAGAAGAGGATGGGCCTTCTCTGCCTTGTCATCTTCAGAAGTGCATTTGATGTGCTAACATCTAAGCCAGTGGGGGGCTCATCCAGAAACAGAACAGTTACAGCTCTCATCACCTCCACTGCAATGCTGGGCTTCTTTCTCCTCCAGACACACCCCAAATGACCTGGTTTCCTACCTTGGAGTTTGCTAATTTTGCTGAAGGCCACCTCTTGAACGGTTTTGTTAATGTGTGTTTTTTGTTTTTGTTTTTTGGGTTTTGTTTTTGTTTTTTGTGCCTGACTGTTTATGCTTGTTGACAGCCAAAGGGCCACTGAAAATTTTTTCCTTACCCATCGCTATACCATCTGAGACTACATAATCTGAGACATCTGAGACACCTTTTTTTTTTTTTGAGATAGTGTCTCAATCTGTCGCCCAGGCTGAAGTGCAGTGGTGTGATCTTGGCCCACTGCAACCTCCGCCTCTTGGGTGCAAGTGATTCCTGTACCTCAGCCTCCCCTGTAGCTGGGACTACAGGCACACACCACCACCCCTGGCTAATTTTTGCATTTTTAGAAGAGACGGAGTTTCACTGTATTGCCCAGGCTGCTTTTGAACTCCCAGCCTCAAGCAATCCACCGGCCTCGGCCTCCCAAAGTGTTAGGATTACAGGCATGAGCCATTGCGCCGTCTTGAGATACTTTTGAAGCTGGCAGGTTGAAGGGTTTCATTTAGCAAAACATCACCAGAGAGACCACAGGAATCCTTCCTTGCCTCCACCAGATGGTCCCAGGATAGCATTAAAACCAGGTTTTATCACCCACTGACAACCTTCAATATCTCCTTCTCAACTGTTTTTTAACCAACTAGAAGCAACTCTTCACCTTCATTTAATAGTAAATATTATGAAAACTTCACACAGGTACATCAGATAATGTCCCTAAGTTTTTGGAGGGCCCAGCAGGTAGACCATTAGCGCTGGTTTCTTGTTCTTCTTGTTGTTGTTGTTGTTTTTAAGCGATGGGGTCTGACTACGCTGGCCAAGCTGGTCTTCAGCTCCTGGCTTCAAGCAATCCTCCTGCCTCAGCCTCCAAAAGTGAGGGCATTACAGGTGTGAGCCACAGCACCCAGTCTGTCAGTGCTTGTTTTTGATCTTGGGAAAATAAAAATGTTTTTTTGCAGACATGTAGAAATTGTTTTTTTCCACTGTGCTGCCATGGGATGAAATTAACCTTTCACGTAGAACCCTAAATTGAATTCTGATTTATGAAACTGCTAAGGCCACTTCTTTTCTGCTATGAAAAATAATCTCTGCTTAGTCTTCAATGTTAGAACATTTGCATGCACTCATTCACACACAAATATACACACACAAAGGACAAGCTATGGTAAGGGAGGAAAAAAGGACATGAATTATTATCCCTCAAATAATGACTCACTTACATGAACCCTACTGTTCACTGAAGAGGAAGGATAGAAATTCACTCACTCATTCAATAAAGATCTATTGTGCACCTAATTTTTTTTTTTTGATGGTATCTCGCTCTGTCGCCCAGGCTGGAGAGCAATGGCGTGATCTCGCTCACTGCAACTTCCACCTCCCAGGTTCAAGGGATTCTCCTGCCTCAGCCTCCTGAGGAACTGGGATTACAGGTGCGTGCCACCACGTGGGCTAATTTTCGTATTTTTAGTAGAGACGGGGTTTCACCACGTAGGCCAGGCTGGAATGCACCTAATTTATGTTAGAGACTGTTCATGTCATGAAGAATAAAGTGGCTCAAACCTGCAATCCCAGCACTTTGGGAGACCGAGGCTGGCGGATCACGAGGTCAGGAGATTGAGACCATTCTGGCTAACACGGTGAAACCACGTCTCTACTAAAGATACAAAAAATTAGCCGGGCGTGGTGGCTGGCGCCTGTAATCTCAGCTACTCAGGATGCTGAGGCAGCAGAATTGCTTGAACTTGGGAAGCGTATGTTGCAGTGAGCCGAGGTCGTGCCATTGCACTCCAGCCTGGGCGACAGAGCTAGACTCGGTCTCAAAAAAAAAAAAAAAAA